TTCTTAGAATGAAAAACTGTGACAAACAGCAAGTTCTCGAAGGTTCGAAATCGGAAAAACTTGTTATTCACATCGGCAGAATGCGAGTTTCCGCGTTCGGTCGATTTAGTCTGCCTACGACAACGATTCGAGCTGGTCGATAGCAATCGATCATAGTTTCGAATATCATCATTTCTCGTATGATATTCTTTCGTGTCTTATTCTCGCTCGTGTCGCGTACGCAGTAGGCTTACTCGTCTCAAATCGGTCCGAATTGTCTCGCCATACAATCGCATTCATATTCTTGCGGCGGTCAATTCGGTCATATCTCAAACTTTATTATTCATTCAGTTAGTGCTAAGACATCGTGAAAGTTAAGTGTTAAGAGTGTGGAGTCCGAGAGTCGACGCGCGTTAACCGTTCCGCGAATGTCCTCTGCCTCGCGCCAAGCAACACCCGGCGTTCGCGTGCAAGATTTCCGCTCTCGCGAGAGTTTCTAGCAAGAAGCTCTTAATCAAGATTTCCGAACCGCGAAAAAGGGCAAACATTAACAGGACATTTGAAGATCTCCGTCGGAATCGCGGAATACGTGCCGTCGCTCGCTCCTATTAGTCAAAATAAAAAGAACAATTCTTAACATCTGCACTCGACTCATTTCAATCTCCTTATCCTCCAGCGGATCTACGGATTCGCGTAACACACCGCTTCTCGCTCATCTCTGAGCGTCTCTCTCAGTTTCGGGCGATTTCGTCGAGATAGACTCCCGAACATTTTGGTCCTTCGAGCCGGATAGAAGCGTGTGTGGAGGATAAGTTCGCGAGTGAGTGATAGTTTGATACATGCACGATGGCAGAGCAATTCATACCTCAACAGCAACTTCAATATGCGATTGATCGCTATCTCGATAATTTCAAGAAAATCGGTAGGAACAATCTCACACCAGCTAAGGTGCGGTCCCGTATCTCAACGCTCAAGGAATACTGGACTCAATTCTTCACCGGACATACAAATTTGGCGCAGAGGATCCCGGAAGCCACCCGGTCGTCCTTTGCATACTTCAAGGACAAGCATTTCGACTTGACGTCAGCAGCATATCAAACCGCAATGGACCACATGGCGGAGATCGTGGAGGAAATGGAGCCGGTCGTGAGTCCAAATTCATCTCTTTTCTCGACGAGGCTGCCCGCGGAAGCGTCCGCGTTTTCTCTATCGCATCTTCCACCCATCAAATTGCCTCCGTTCGACGGCAATTACAACGAATGGGAACAATTTCGCGATCGATTTGCGACGCTAATTCGAGAAAATTCTGACTTGAATGATTTCGCGCGCATGCATTTCTTATCATCGTGTTTAACGGGTCGCGCGGTGGAATGTATAGCGAATCTGTCGGTTACCGCCGCTAATTTCGAAATAGCATGGAAAGCGTTAACCAAACGGTACGACGACAAAAGGCGGTCGATAAACAAACATCTCTCGACCTTGCTCAGCTTATCGTCTATCTCGCGCGAATCTGCCACCGAGCTGCAGACTTTAAACGACAAAGTGAATATCGCAATGGCATCATTAAAAGCCCTCAATCGAAAACCGGAGAAACTCTGGGAAGATATTGTCGTTCATATCGTTGTACAAAAATTAGATCCGGTTACGCGCAAAGCTTGGGAACTAAGCATCGCCCATAAAGATGCCCCGCAGTCTCACGAAACTTTAAGCAAATTTATCGAGTCGCGCACTCGCGCGTTAAGGGCAGCCGCCCCCGGGTCAGTCGTTAAAACCGGTGTAAAACCAGTCGCAGCCTCGCGAGTTTATTCCGCAACCGCATCCGCTAATGCACAATCGCAGTGCTCGCTGTGTCCAGCTCGACACTTTATTAACGTATGTCCTACGTTCGTGAGCAAAAATGCGAGTCAACGTCGCGATATAATCAAGCAACAAAAACGCTGTTTCAATTGTTTGAGCGCAAGGCATTCCGCACATGAATGCAAAAGTAAATATTGTTGTCGGGTTTGTCACAAGAAGCATCATTCGATGCTACACGTTGACTCGGATTCTAGCTCAAGTGCATTGAAAAATGTACAGTCTAATTGCTCGTCGCCTCAAGCGTCGGATGCGACGCCGGAGGTAAATTCGTAAACGCCTCAACCGGAACGCGAAAGCGCTCACCCGTCCTCCTAGCAACGGCCTGGGTAACAGTTCGCAGTCCGTCGGGCCGCACCGCTGTCGTTCGAGCTCTCCTCGATCAGGGCTCGGAAATGACATTCATTTCTGAAAGTTTAGCGCAAATCTTGCGCTTAAAACGAATTCGCATGCCGATCTCCGTTTCCGCCGTCGGCGGGATAAACGCGGGGACTTTTCAACACGCGACACACATATTCATTTCTCCTCGCGATTCTCACGTTCCGTCGCTGTCGACCACCGCGCTCATTATGAAATCGTTAACTTCTTATGCTCCGAGACAGAACGTGGACATCTCGTCACTATCTTATCTTTCTGATTTGCCGCGAGCAGACGCGGATCCGACGAGTCTTGATCCTATAAATCTCATTATCGGAGCAGATCTCTATAACGATATCATTCTCGACGGTGTTCGCAAAGGAAGCGTCGGACAACCAATTGCTCAGAATTCCGTCCTCGGATGGATAATTTCGGGACCTATCACGTCATCAACGACGAATAATTCCTCGTCGCCGACAATTCTTTCCGAAACTTGCGCTCTCAGTCGCGTTTCGACTCATCATATTGTCGGCTCTCCTTCTCTCGAAGAGGAACTTCGTCGCTT